CCCCAGTGAAACCAATACAGTGATCAGTGCTAAAAAAAAAAAGCACTGACACTGTATTAATGACACTGGGCAGGAAGGGGTTAATGTGAGGGACAATCAAAGGGTTAACTGTATGTAGGGAGTGTTTTACTAGGGGGCTACTTCACTGTAAGCCCACTGATCGGGATGGCTGTCCTGTGCACAGCCATCCTAAACAGTGTGCCCAAACTGGCAGGGAGGAAGACTGTTTGTAAACAAAACAGTCTTCCTCCCCTTTGGTGATTGTCGGTAATCACCAGGCGCCAGCGGGTAATCACCAGCTGGGACTCAGTGACTGACATCCGCAGCCATGAATGGATGTGTAAATTAATTGGTTTATGTGAAAGTTACAGTGTTTACAAATGGCGGTATAGATACTGGAATGTTTTTTCTTTTTTACTAATAATGGTGATCAGCAACTTATAGCGGGTCTGCGGTGGGCATTCTGGCACTGGGGGAAACTGACTTGGTGTCACTGACATCCCCAGTGACACCAATACAGTGATTGTTTACAAACAGTTCTCCTCCCCGACGGAGATCTTCAGCAATCACCGGCCGGGACCCCTACCCAGAAATGCAAAATCACGTGAATATACGTGATTTTGAGCACCCGTGCTGCCGTGTAGCGATATATTTGCCATACGGCGGTGGGTAAGTGGTTAATACATATAAATGAAAAGCAATGTTACTGAACATGCATTTCAGTGCATTTTTATGTGCAGTGAAAGGACCCTAACACCCCCGGTCACATAGGGTGTGACTAGGCATTCGATTTGAATGCCATGCGACTTGCAAAGCGTATGCCAAGTCGCATGGCATTGTCCGCAATTAGTTTGGTCAAAATCGGTTTGGTTCTGACTTGGTCGGATCCACACATTTCTAAAGTAGTACATGTACTACTTTTGGTGTGATTTGCATAGACATCTGTGTCAGATATCTTGCAAATCGCACCTGAAATCGGCATCTCACCCGACTTTGAAATCGTGCGACTTACAGTGAAGTCGCACGATTTCAAAGTCGGGTGAGATGTGACCGGGGGCTTAGACTTGGTTTACATTAGCCTTTACAGTAAAATGCAGTGTCTTACTGTGCAGGTCAGGGCACCGTTTACTTTAGCACGGAGCAGTGCAAGGTACGTTTCAGTGCATCACGGTTTTTTTTTTTTTTTTTTCTTTCCAACTTTATTTGAAGTGTCCCATAGTGATACTTCATTCATATTACTGCATAGTGGGGCAGTGTGTTGCGCAGATGTGCGTTGACATGTGATACCATCTAGTGTGGTGTGGAAAAGACATGCTGCATTTTTTCACACTGCAATGCACCACACATCACACCAGAGTTGTTGAGTGAATGGGGCACATGAAGAACTATTTTCTTCTAAGTGCCCTAGTGGTTACCTGCATTTATCTAGTGTGGAAAAACACAGGTCACTACAGATAGCATAGACCAGGCCTTTACTTCTTTTCCTTGTTATGAATTTCCTCATGGAATGCTTTCAAAGTGCATCACATGACTTAGCTGAACTCGCAATTCGCCAAATATGGCAAACGATGGCTCTGTAATTACAATAGGCATCAGCTAAGCTGGGCCCTTTCACGTCTCGCCATCTGAGTCCATCAGCTGCATTTCCTTGCGATTTGCTTCGAAGGAAAAGTCTGGCATCAGGCCTTCCTCATCTTGAAATGTACAATATGCGGTCAGCATAGATGTGCATAGAAGACGGGAGAGAGAGGCTATAGAAAGGGCAAAGAAGGAGACACAAAGAAAATGAAAAGGGGGATGAAAGTGAGGAGGGGTGTGGGAGGAAAAGTAGGCCGGAGTTTCAGGAAATGGGGATCATAAGGAAGAAAGGTGGGGGGAGCAGAAATCAAGGCTCAGCAAGAAACACACCCAGAGTTTGTGCTGAGACAGGATTTCTGGGGTTGAGCGGTGTGGGGAAGGCACCTTGCCAAGTGCTCAGTGGGGGCTAACATATCATGGGATGCTGTGGAGAAGAAACGGGGGGGGGACGACGGGGGGGGGGGACTTTGTTGTGTAACCTCTTCTCTACCGAAAGGTGAAATGCACATTTTATTCCCCCTCTCATTCCCTGAAGGTCTGTTGGTCAGAGCTGCTGAGAGGAGGGATTTTTAAATGACCACTGCTGTCTACAAAGCACTTTTCCAACTTTAGTTTGCCACACAGGCATGCTTAGCGCAGAGATTTTATATTTTGGACTGCCTCCTGTCTGTGCCCTTGTGTGACCCTGTAAAATATTTCTTTATGTGTCATATGTTATTGTATTACTATTAACTCCATAGGTGTATTTGCGTGTTGCTGAGTACAGGAAAATAGGAATCTCTCAGTTCAGCATTACTGGCAGCTGACCCTCATTTCCTATGTGCTGTTTGTCCCATAAAAATATTTCGCCGTGACAGGGTCATGATCCATTACCGATTACAATATGTTCTGTGTGTTGAATAATAATCAACAGATCTTTTTTTGTCCTGTATCGTAAACCAGGCACTCTAAAACAAAAAAAAAAAACCCCAGCCAAAACTCTTTAGTTTTGAATAGATCAGGGAGCCTCTGTCAGGTTTTTATTGCTGTCTGTGTCCCTGTTGGAGAAATTAACCATCACTCCCTGTCAGGATCGGAAATCTCTCCAACGAGGGTACCGACAAAAATTAAACTTTTGGTAGCACAAGGAACAGCTAGGGCTTTGCAGGAGTTTAGGCTTTTTTTTAACTAAACCCCTATTCAATCAGCACAACACACCCCAAAATAATATGATAGTGCTCTAAATAGCTGCTGCTAAAACACTGTTAGCGACCTTACAACACCTGTACCAAAATGAGTACCAATAAAGTGTAGCGCAACAGACTAATATCTCATATAAAAAGAAATATTAAACAATAATTGAAGTCCCATGAAAAGTCTCTTATAACACCACTGTGTAACGTGTATAAGATACATCTTCTGTCTTCTTCAGTGCCAAACGTGCCACCACCATTAGATGAAAAACTGCTCACCTCACTTTATGACCTCACCAATAGGTCATTATGTGCTCAACATGTGGACAGACTTGTGTACACCCTATGTGGTCTTCCTCCAGCTTGTCTCCTAGCATCGCCACAGTATGCCACCGTGCCACCACCATTAGATGAAAAACCTGCTCACCTCACTTTATGACCTCATCAATAGGTCATTATGCGCTCAACATGTGGACAGACTTGTGTACACCCTATGTGGTCTTCCTCCAGCTCCTCTCCTGGCACCGCCACAGTATACCACCGTGCCACCACCATTAGGTGAAAAACCTGCTCTCCTCACTTTATGACCTCATCAATAGGTCATTATGTGCTCAACAAGTGGACAGACTTGTGTACACCCTATGTGGTCTTCCTCCAGCTTGTCTCCTAGCATCGCCACAGTATACCACCATGCCACCACCATTAGATGAAAAACCTGCTCACCTCACTTTATGACCTCATCAATAGGTCATTATGTGCTCAACATGTGGACAGACTTGTGTACACCCTCTGTGGTCTTCCTCCAGCTCCTCTCCTGGCACCGCCACAGTATACCACCGTGCCACCACCATTAGATGAAAAAACCGTCCTCACCTCACTTAATGACCTCACCAATAGGTCATTATGTGCTCAACATGTGGACAGACTTGTGTACATCCTATGTGGTCTTCCTCCAGCTCCTCTCCTGGCACCACCACAGTATACCACCGTGCCACCACCATTAGGTGAAAAACCTGCTCACCTCACTTTATGACCTCATCAATAGGTCATTATGCGCTCAACATGTGGACAGACTTGTGTACACTCTCTGTGGTCTTCCTCCAGCTTCTCTCCCAGCACCGCCATAGTATACCACCGTGCCACCACCATTACGTTAAAAACCTGCTCACCTCACTTTATGACCTCATTAATAGGTCATTATGCGCTCAACATGTGGACAGACTTGTGTACACTCTCTGTGGTCTTCCTCCAGCTTCTCTCCCAGCACCGCCATAGTATACCACCGTGCCACCACCATTACGTTAAAAACCTGCTCACCTCACTTTATAACCTCACCAATAGGTCATTATGCGCTCAACATGTGGACAGACTTGTTTACACCCTATGTGGTCTTCCTCCAGCTTGTCTCCTAGCACCACCACAGTATACCACTGTGCCACCACCATTATGTTAAAAACCTGCTCACCTCACTTTATGACCTCATCAATAGGTCATTATGCGCTCAACATGTGGACAGACTTGTGTACACTCTCTTTGGTCTTCCTCCAGCTTCTCTCCCGGCACCGCCACAGTATACACTCCTTCAGCTGACACGCTCATATAATATGTATTATGGAAAACAGAATAGTGGAACCATAGTATTCTCTATTTATAAAACTATTTATTAGCGCCCAGATTAACCACATGCCTACAGGGCACTTATACCCCCTTCCTGCCCAGGCCAATTTCCAGCTTTCAGTGCTGTCACACTTTGAATGACCATTGCGCGATCATGCAACACTGTACCCACATGAAATTTTTATCATTTTTTTTGTGACAGAGCTTTATTTTGGTGGTATTTAATCACCTCTGGGGGTTTTTTTTCTTAAACAAACCAAAAGCCACTAAAAATTTTGTAAATAAGTGATTTTTCTCCTTCACTGATGTGCGCTAATGAGGCTGTAGTGATGGGCACTGATAGGCTGCACTGATGGACACTGATAGGTGGCACTGATGGGCACTAATGAGGAAGCACTGGTAGGTGGCACTGATGGGCATTGACAGGCATCACTGATGGGCACTGAAAGGTAGCACTCATATACGGCACTGATAGGCAGGACTGACTGACACTGTTAGGTGGCACTGACTGGCACTGTTAGGCAGCACTGATAGGCAGCACTGATGGGCGCTGATAGGCGCCACTGACTGGCACTGATAGGGAGCACTGACTGGCACTGATAGGCGGCACTGATTGGCAGCACTGATAGGTGGCACTGACTGGCATTGATAGGTGGCACTGACTGGCACTGATGGGTGACACTGAAAGGCAGCTCAGATGGGCACTGATGTGTGGCATTGATGTGCACTGGTAGGCACTGAAATGTGGCACTGATGTGGCACTGATGGGCACTGGCAGGTGGCATGGATGAGCACTGACACATGGCACTGATGGACACTAACAGGTGGCACTGCTGGGGCTACACAGATCATCAGGGCACACTGATCATCAGTGCTCTGATGATCTGTGTACATGTCCCCTCCGAGGAATGCCGATTACCAGCTCTCCTCTGGAGCTGTCAGCGTGACAGCTCGTGAGGAGAATAATGCTGATAACCGGCATTTCCCTGTTTATGTGTGATCAGCTGTGATTGGACACAGCTGATCACATGACCGAGCTGACATCTTCGGCTCTTTCCGTTGATCAGTGATCCGAGGGACACAACGCACCGCCGATCACCACGCTGCATGCTCCCGGAGCCGCGCATGCGGGGTTAGAATGGGAGGACATCATATGACGTCCTCCCAGAACGAGAGAACCGCCTTGCGCCCATCATTGGATTACAGTCTGCACCCTCTGGCAGTGGTGTATTTAGGTTTTGTGCTGCCCTAGGCAACACAAAAATGGGTGCCCCCCCACAGAACTGACATTGACCAAAAACACCCCTGCCCTCCAGCCAAGCCTTCCACTACCACTGCCCCCCCCCACACCAGCCACCATCCCCAATGATGAGCGAGAGACACTCACCTTCACAGCTCCGGAAATCCCTAGGAACGAGAGTCTGGCTGTGCATACACCGACATGAAACCTGCAGCATCTCTCGGAACCCACCAGGTCCCCATGCCGTGTGTGTCCCTTCTTCCATCCCTTCTTCCAAGGGGCAGTGCTGCCCCCCCTGAAAAATGCCGCCCTAGGCAAATGCCTTCTTTGCCTTGTAGTAAATACACCCCTACCCTCTGGTTGTCCCTCACATGGCTGTGGGTTCTGCTGACCAGGCTCTTACCCTCTAAGGTGGAGTTTATTTGACACAATCCTGTCACACTCCTGTCATATCACTCTCCTGTCACATTCTGACAAGATTCCTTTTTGTAGAAACATCTTGTTCTCTCCTCCTTACTGCTGATACCTCTCCCTTGTTACAGTACAGCTGGCTGTTTACACAGTAAATTTGCAAAGTGGGCAGGCAGATAAGATGCCCTGATACATTGGTCTTCAGTAAGCAGAGCACCGGCTCTTTGCTCTTCCTCTCTAAAGCTCACTGGAGCTTTTTAGCTGTGCAGGGGGCAAGAGCGGCTGGTAAAGACATTTTGGTGGATCCTAACATTAAAGTCGGGATCTCTCTAGAGCCTGGACAGGCCCAGTGACATCAGCTGACAGTGGACTTTAGCCTGCTGTCGACTGAAAACAGGGCACAGGAGTGCAGAACGAAGTATACTTCTATGATCCATAGGAGAAGTAGGGCCAAAAAAAACCTAATCCTCTTAGTCTTGTTCCCCCCTAACCTGGTGAAGGAAAGATAAGATAAGATACTCACCTAGGTCCCCGATCCAGGTCCCCCACTGCTGTTGGTTTCAAGTGCAGGGAACCAATGATTCAGGGCTCTGATGGTCCCCCATAACCAGTCCCCTGCCATTTCCCTTCTTCTGAGAGGACCCTGCTGGCAGCCATTTTATTTCTCCACACTCAATGAAGGACCCTTCCAGGCTGTAAACAGAAAAGCAGAAGACTCAGGCTGGCTGTGTCATGTGATCATGACTTCAGGTAAGTTAAAAGGGGCATTTAGCTATTATTTTTTTTTTTAATATAGCAATCAGTTAGAGGGATGGAGTTTTATCCCAGAAAGGGACTTTAACCAATTCAATACCGGGCAATTTTACACCTTCCTGCCCAGGCCATTTTTCAGGTTTCAGCGCTCTCACACTTTGAATGACAATTGCGCGATCATACAACATTGTACCCAAACTAAAATTTTATCATTTTCTTCTCATAACTAGAACTTTCTTTTGGTGGTATTTAATCACTGCTGGGGTTTTTATTTTTTTGCTAAATTAACAAAAAAAGACAGAAAATTCTGAAAAAAAAACCCACGTTTTTCTTTGTTTCTGTTATAAAAGTTTGCAAATAAATAATTGTTCTTCATAAATTTAGGCCGAGATGTATTCTGCTACATGTCTTTGGTGAAAATAACCCAAATTAGGATGTATTATTTAGTTTGTAGGAAAGTTATAGAGTTCACAAACTATGGTATAGATCTGCATATTGATCAATCCTGAAGTACTGACAGCCAATCTAATTTCTTGAGGTCCAAGAATGTCAGAACAGTACAGATATCCCCCAAATTACCCCTTTTTGCAGAGTAGACAGTCCGACGTACTTCATAAGAGGCATGGCAAGTTTTTTGAAGTTGTATTATTTTTGTCATAATTTTTTGGAAAATGAAAAAATTAAAAAAATTATTTTCACTATTTTTTTTTACATACTGTCACCGGTGCCATACAGCGTCATCATATAACTGGCATGGCGGTGATCAGTGACACTGACTGGTGACAGTGTGAAAAAAAAAAAAAAAATATTTTTTTTATTATTTTTTAAATTTTTTATTACATTTTTTTTTCTTTTTTTTTAAGATTTTTTTTTTCATATTTCACTATGACCAAAGTAGTACAATGTTACTTTAGGGAAGTGATCAGTATTTTTTTTTTTTTTTACACAATTTGCTTATAGCAAAGAATGACTTTGCTATAAGCAAGCATTTACCTGAATGACATCGATTCATTCAGGGTTTTTTTTTTCTGTGCTTAGCTGTGATTTGGCCACAGCTAATCACATGACATGTGCATGTGATTAGCTGTGACCATTCACAGCTAGACACTAGTATACAATGGATGGCATGAATGAAGCCATCCATTGTATACAACTGTCATGTGACCTGCTGTGATTGGTCACAGAAGGTCACATGGTACCGGCAACGGGGCCAATACTCAGATCTGTCATCGGCTGTGTCTGAGGTACACGGCCGGTGACAGATCGCGCTGCTACGCGGCTCTGCAAGCGTGTGAACTGCACATGTGCGGGAGTATGCCAAATCGAGGCGTCCCGGAAAGCTAGTGCATTTTTCCGGACGCCATACGGCTATTGGCCGGGTGTCAAATGGTTAAAGCCCAACTCTGGGAAAATGAATAAAAATCAACCATGCAATGAGCCCTACCTCTCTCCTTACTGCAAGGGGGTAAATGCTTGCTATTTCTAGGGAGAGATGAAGAGAGCTCTAGAGCTGGGTTTTAAAAGTCCTATCAAATAAACTTTTTATGAGATGCATATTATATGAGCCAGTGTAATTTATTAAATTGGAACTCCAGTCAAAACATTTTGGATGGACTGGAAATGGTATAAAATTGTTTCTCTTTTCTTTTTTTATGTACTAAATGATTTCTGAAAGTACAGAGGAAGTAAAGCAGATCTCTTCAATAGAGATACAGACAGCAATTAATGCATATTTTTTTTATAATAGTGTGTGGATGGTTTTACACTTGTGTCAGGATTATAGTTGTACCTGTGCCCTTGTTGAGGAAGTGTGCAGAAAATTTCACAACAGGAAAACAGATTTCCATAAAAACCTGACCTAATGCTAAAAGTGTTTGGTTCCTCTATAAGCGAACCTATGCACTCCAGAAGCTTGCATGTTAAGGGTTTCTAACATCTGTTATTACATGGGCTTCCTGCTTATGTGATGAATGATCACATGATCACTATGACTGTCTGTGACAGTGATCATGTGATCGTGACTCCCCATTCTATAGGTTCCCAATCATAATCAGTGATCGGGAGCTGTCAGTGACAGCGCTGTCATAGTACTGGAGGCGCCAAGCAAGTGAGCTCTCTGCAGAATACAACGATACTGGTTGTACACATGTTTGTGGCAGCACAGTGATTCCACCGTCCTGCTACTACATGTATGCATGAGTCCGCCAACACTACAAATTTTTTATGAAGAACTAAATGTTGGAACCTGTACCAAAAAATGATAGCTAAAGAGCAAACAAGCCACCAACATAGCCTGTGGACTACCTGCAGCAGACCTCTCCATTACTGACTTACCATACCTTGTTCTGCACTGTGTCTGTGTGTGAAGGTGGCCATCTTGGTAGAGGAAAGGTTTTTCTTCGACATGTAGAGCCTCTATAGCAAGCACAAAGTACTGTAAGCAGCACAGCAGTAATATCCTCAAATCTTACTCCAGATCTCATGAGACTAGCAGTCAGAGGCAGCAGTGCCCTAGATCTCACACCTCTGTTATACATCTATAAGGCTAGGTTCACATCTGTGCAGGTGGTACCACTGCGGATCCGCACAAAAATCTGTGCAGCCGCACCACCTGCACAGAGGAATGCGGACCCGCATACGGAACCGAGGTTCCCGTGCGGGCTGCGTTTTTTAAGAAGTGCAGGGACTTCTTTTCTGCATGTCACGGGGCACGGGAGTCCAGTCAAATTAATGGGTTCTCGTGCCCATGCAAAACGCGGCCCGCATGGCCACATATATGTGAACCAGGGTTAAAGCTGTAGGCACTCTCATATGCCAAGAAGGGCAATGCTATATTTTGTAAGCAAGCAAACAAAAGGTACAGTTTTCAGGGTACTGCTAAGGCACAATTAATATTTCTAGATTTTCCCTATAACATAGCAAATCTTTACTGTTTGAGTTCAGTTCCACTTTAAGGCAATGCACATAAAACAGTGACAGAGGCCATCAGAATACAGTGGGCAGCAGCAAACAGTGATTGCCCAAGAATTATCCACTGACAATTTTTGTATCGAAGAATGTTGATTGCAGTGCACCAACTTACTGTTCTGTGTATGGGCAGCATAACAGCCATGAGATAAACCTGTTTGATGATGAAATTAAAAGCAGAGACAGGAAGGAGAGTATAAAGCAAAAGCTTCAGGAAGTATACTTCAAGTGACTTTGTAAGATGTTCACTAAATTCTGTCTATGGTGGTTTATAGCAAACTGAGATTAAAGGAAATGTCTCTTCCTGGTTTTTTTTGGTTGACACCTAATGACACTTGTAGCTGGTGCACGCACATTAGCAGTGCAGGGCGGCTACAAAAGCACAAAAGAGACAGTGGCCCCCTGATGACATAGGTAAAGAAGATGGAGACATGAGACAGCAGATCAGCAGATTGCAGCAGGACAATGCTGGGTTCATAGGATGGTAGAGTACTGTATGTATTCTGAGGATAACCCAGTGAACAAGGTGAGAGAGCATTTTAAAAAAAGAAACACAGGAGGGATGGGGGAAGTCCTTTATTTAGATTCTTACCAATGAGACCATTTACTTCTA